TACAGTGTCAAGCAAATCTCGTGTTAAAGTTTGAGCATCCAACTCCTCTTATTATAAAATCTAGAGCCAACGGTAAGAAACTTTTTGATCGACCCTTGTACAATCAGAAATGAAGCCCGTAGACTTAACAGTAAAGAATGCAAAGTGTAAAATGCTACCAAAAAATATCGCGAAACGAGGAGTCTCGATTTTCGTTATTAGGGGAAGTCGTCCTATCATCGCACGGGTACTCAGGGAAACTACTGACGATTTCAAATATGATAATTTAAACTCACTTTGCAGTCAATATGGTACAACGAAAATGGGACTTCTGCGCATGTTAAAATTTTTCGTCAAAACTCAACTTTTGTTCAAGTTGATACGATTGTCTTTCGAACTAGAGACTTACCTCATTCGAAAGATCATAAAAGACTTTATCTATACTGAAAATCTTAGATCCAAACATAGTAGAATACGCCGTCAGTCCGCATTTGATTTTTTGAAGTGAGTTTCGTAGATCGTCAGATTTCTCCGACTGATATCGGGTTACCTCAAACTGGTTCGTTTATAAATACGAATTTGTTTACCGTTGTAAGGCGCATGCGCAAAATTGATTTATAAACCTTATTGGTTGATGGTTTTTCTCCTGCGCATGCGTGAAGTCTGATGAACACTTATGACGAAGACCGGAGCAAACATTACTAGCTCTTGAACGAAATTCCAAGATTCAGGTCATTTCGCCGTGTTTGCTAAGCGTGTATACGTCAATGACAAGCTGTTTTGAGTAGATCGGGTACCTGTTTTAGACACAACATTGATTTAGCTTGACATTGATGTGCACATTGGCACTTTTGAGCATGTTAATACAAGTTTTTACACTCTTAGCACGAGACGGGTTTTCGAAAAATCTGTTATCTGATTCACTCGATTATCGTATGGATATGTATTTCTGCTGACATTTCAACACCACATCACATAGAATTACGATGCAGAATGATAATAAAACACAAAACAACTACTAAATTCCACTTGTTATTTCACAGGAGGTAAAAATGCAAACTGCCTAGATTCTTTGTAAGGGTCGTCAGACATCGGATTGGCCGCCATATTTGAAATGAAAATATCACTAAATAAAGGTCTGCGCATGCCTCAACATTTCGACTGTTTGAGAATATGAGACGAAAGATCAACCTTTCTTGTCAAGTTTAGCTGTGTTTTCACTTTTCTTTTCTCCGAACGCTCACACTTTGAGACCCCTTAGACTTATATGTGTGGTCGTCCTATCATCGCACGCCTCGTCCTAATTATCGCACGAATCGTCTTTATTGTCTCACGGTTGTGTTTCGATTGCTATTTGAGGCTATTTCGTACATTTCATTGTTTGAAATGAAGATTTAACGATAAAAATTGGGTGTATTCATCTTATTATCTATATTGTATATGTTTCCATGGGGTCTTTGAAGCTCCCAAGTACGAGGGCCGATTTATATTAGTCTGTTAGTAGACAAATTACTTACCAAAATATATTGTTTTAACATTTGTCAAGAGACATCACGTGTAATAACAATGTTATTATAAAGTCTATGTGAAACCCGACTTAGTCTGTTTAATCTGATGGATTGATAACTGTGAGTTAACAAAATGACTGTATATTCATTGTGATAATCTATGAGGGTACATCTCCCACTGAGAAGGTAATTAATATAAAACAAGGTTCATCTCCCAGAAGGTAACATATCCATTGTGAAATTATCATAAACCAAGGTTCATCTCCCAGCAGGTAACGCATTCATTGTGACATTATTATAAACCAAGGTTCATCTCCCAGAAGGTTACATATCCATTGTGAAATTATTATAAATCGAGGTTCATCTCCCAGAAGGTAACGCATCCATTGTGAAATTATTATAAATCAAGGTTCATCTCCCAGCAGGTAACGCATCCATTGTGACATTATCATAAACCAAGGTTCATCTCCCAGAAGGTTACATATCCATTGTGAAATTATTATAAATCGAGGTTCATCTCCCAGAAGGTAACGCATCCATTGTGAAATTATTATAAATCAAGGTTCATCTCCCAGCAGGTAACACATTCATTGTGACATTATTATAAACCAAGGTTCGTCTCCCAGAAGGTTACATATCCATTGTGAAATTATTATAAATCAAGGTTCATCTCCCAGCAGGTAACGCATCCATTGTGACATTATCATAAACCAAGGTTCATCTCCCAGAAGGTTACATATCCATTGTGAAATTATTATAAATCGAGGTTCATCTCCCAGAAGGTAACGCATCCATTGTGAAATTATTATAAATCAAGGTTCATCTCCCAGCAGGTAACGCATCCATTGTGACATTATTTTAAACCAAGGTTCATCTCCCAGAAGGTTACATATCCATTGTGAAATTATTATAAATCGAGGTTCATCTCCCAGAAGGTATTACCAAGTGTATTCTATTTGCAGCATCTGGGACAGTAAAAGTCTCTTGCTTCCAAATGTGATGTGTCAATGGTTGGTGGGATACAGTGGACATGTATCCATTGCCCACATTTGGAGCACTCAACCCAGTCCATAACTTCCAAATCATCCTCTTCACTTCCATTACACATAATGCATGACACATCACATTTGTCTTTTGGTGTAGGTGTATTTGGTGATGTTTTTGATTTTTTGATTTTTTTTAGTTCTTTCTCGCGGAGTTTTTGAAGTTTGACAGCTTGTTGATCCCTTTTCTTGGCCCTCACACTCTCATCTGTCAATACGAAATATTTTCCCACAAATTTTTGTTTAAAATTAGAGTCTATTGTAGGGTAAGAAAGAACATCAGTAGCTGTAGATGAACCGGCCTGAGATGAAGAAAATGGAGAAGGAGAATTTGTTTCTCTGCGTGATTCGATACACAGCTGCTCCCACGTGTAGTAGAGAGCATCACTCTCTGAGGTGCATTTGTACCCCTTTGATAACCTCTTTTTAAAAAGGGATATCATAGATGGAGCCATCGTGCCCTCCATCACATTAATGGCTTCTGATGCAGGGCATGGCTTGACGACAGAAACACCTACTGGAAGTGAAGCTGATTCTTCCTCTGTTTCCCCTAGATCAAGTGAAGAGCAATCCATTAGTGATACAAATGGATCATTGTCATCATTGGAGGAAGAAGAAGAGGATGTGACTTTTGGTACAGTGGATTGAATTTCATGTTGGTCCTCAAGTGCCACGTTACAGAGTGTAGATGGGTCGAAAGCACTGTCTGGAACCTGACTGGGATCCAGTGGGTAGATCCCAGTCTTTATGAAACCATTTCTTGCGTTGCTTTCAGTCATAGAGTTATGCCACGCTTTTGCAAACAGCTGGCAAAAGTTTGCTGGGCTAATAACTATACCCGGGTGCTCTCGGACATAGTCGGCACATATCTCGTTCCAGCTGCTCTTAAGGGACTTGAAGCACGTCTTGTCCAGTGGCTGCAGGTATTGAGTGGTGTGAGGTGGAAGAACAAGAATTGTTATGCCTTCATTGGCAGCCATGTCAGCGATTTCTAATGAAAGATGGCTGACATGGCCATCGAGAATAAGAAGCTGTGGTCGTTGAGGACCGCAAAATTTCAGAAAAACTTCCGTAAACCAAAGTTCACCAACCAAACTATTAGTCCAACCAGATTCGGTCACCGAAAATCTGGTATCTGGTGGTGCCATGCTTAAGTCCATCGAGTTTAAAGCCCTTGATGTAACTCCCTGGTGTATTACGTGTGGTGGGAGCACACGCCCGGACGCATTGGTGCACGCTATCACAGTTTCCTGAAAGACAAAAAGCACAAGTAGAAAATTGGAATTATCATTTGGCCTAGGAACATGAGATGTGTAGTTTGAACAAATTTGGTGCTAGAGTTTTTCTCTATTATGCCCAAATGCAAAAAATAAGCATTAACATTTCCTTGAATACCAAGCATGTACTTGCTTGTTAAAATAACTTGTCTGAATAGATATGGTTATATGGCTTAGTTAGTTATGTAATGAATCAAATATACTTACAAGTGTCAATAAAGATAGATTTTCGAGAAATATTAACCATTAACAGTAGTAAATTTACAACTCTGCAACTGCAACATACAGTTCTTATCTATTAACTGGAACAAAAACATATCAACGTGATAAACATCTTAGTACACTATTGGGTGATTGTTAAGACCTGCTGCTTGTTGCCACTCGTACGACCACCAACTTGTCTCTGCCCAGTCCTTGCGACAACATTACCAGGAACATGCTCATATGAGAGTCCTGTCTCATCAACATTCCAGATACTTTCTGGGGTTTTATCAAGTCCGAGTTCTTTAATTTTGCTTTCCAGTCCAGCAAAATAATCAAGAACAGCTGGTTTGTTCATGGCATTATGTCGAGATGCTTTTAGGAAATAAAGGTAACTATTTAAAGGGGCAATTGGGTCGGGTTGGCCTATCAGGCATGAATATCGAATGCAAATGACTATTTTTTAAGTTCCTTTATAATAAGTTTTTCCTGGTCATATTTTTAGAATCTTTAATATCAGTACAAAACATCAAAATTAACATTTTACTGAAGCTTTTTGATTAATGAACAAATTCAACATGAGCCACAGCAAGGTATACACTTTCCTTACTGAGTAATAAAATAATACAACACAGATGAAAGAACGATTTTCCTTACATGCTGTTGCCTCAGCTTTCCTGAGTGCCATATCAGGATGCCTCTTCTTCATTCCGCGCCACCACTTATCTGTCAAATGGGGCCCCTGGATTCTGAGCTGCTTTTTTACTGCCTCTGCTTTGGCATATCAACGTGATGTATTATTATGCATGATGTACAGAGGACTTATCCTGTTCCTGTCCTGGTACGTGATAATAAACGACGGTATTATCCCGTGCCAGGACTGTCCTGGCAAGGGATAAGTATCAGTTCATGAGCCGAAAGCCCTGACCGAAAGTGGAACTGAAAACAGTAAACAATGTCACATGACCATCACGTGATCTGAACAAGTGGTTGTTTTGGAAAGAGGAAATTCGATAAAATCGGTGGTGCCTAATAACTACGGATATCCTTGTCATATAAGATGCTACACAATTCATGAGTGGACAGATTCAACATAAATATACAAGGAACACACTGACTCTAGTAAAAGTATTTACTGATCGTCAAACGGAGAGGAAATTCTAAGTTAAAACGGAGATTTTCTTTGAAAGTTTCTTTTTCGCCAACATGGCTGGCAAATTGTTCATTTGCATTCTGTGCACGACGATGGTGAAACTTATGCTTTGTGAAAGTAAGTATGAACTTCGTTCTTTTTTAGCCTTCTTCCAATGAAGAGTATTTAAAGTTTCCGATCTCAGCATGGATTCCACCCCCGGGTGTTCACTGTATACACAATTTTGAGGGGGTTTTCCGAAGGCTGAACCCTCAGATAGATCAATTCAATACTGTATATTCCCTAGGTACATTCATGCACCCTCTGGGTCTCTGAGGATCGTGTTGGGTCCATACGACAATCCAACGCATTAGAGGCGGTGTTCATCGTCTATATATTCCCATACCAAACTGTCAAATTTCAATTTGTTCCCATACCAACCAAATAACGCCTAAAAGCCATACCAAATGTCCAAATATAAGATCAATGCCATACTAAATGTCTGGGTTTGTAGGAAAAAATGGGTACCGGGTAGTAAATCCTCCATGCTGGGTTCAAACTTAATTGGTACCTGGTCGAAAAAACCGGGTACCCAAAAAAACGAAAAATACGAATATATAACATAATAAGATCATTAGAAAACGTGTAAGATTTGTTTTGAATTCACAAAAATGTATGTAACTTCTTTCAAAATTGAGCTAGCAGCTTCAAATAAAAAGCATTTTAAGGCTCTTTTCTTCCTCTATCATTTTCATCATGGTCATATTTTCATTGGTTATGGGGGGGGGGGGGGTGCGGTCGCACCATCGAACCCCCTCCTGGCTACGCCTATGACATTGCAAGACGATTTGAAAAACATGACAATCAATCTTACTCTATTTTCAATAGTTAGTATGTTGGTACGTGAATTGTTTTGATCATGATTTAAATCTGTAAATAGCTATCATTACTTTAGCAGAGAAGTTCGTCCACTGAAGTGTAAATTGTTACGTCTTACACTGTCATAGGCGTAGCAAAGAGGGGGTGAGATGGTGCAATCGTACCCCCCCCATAACCAGTAAATATCAGTAAATAATACTCTATAATTTTCTGTGATTCATGATCTGATTTTTCATACATGCAGATCTACATTATATAAATGTAATTCAGAGTTGGATAAAGTGGCCTAGTAATCCATCATTACATGTAGATTCTAGAGAAATGTTGTTCATAAGTGAAAACATCTTATAACTGCATGGATAAGCCAGTCTGTGCAGATAAAGTCCTGAAATTATTTTTTAAACATGTAATTTGTGGTCACTTGATCCACAATTCACGCATGAGCAGCCATCTAGAAATTACCGTCTTGTTTGAACAAATTTTTCTGTGGTTCGATTGATCTTTTGTGGTACACTCTATGTAGATAGTGTTTGCAGAAAATACTCCGTGGGGATATGTGAATGCAATGCAGATTTAACACTCATTTCAATTTGTGATCTTTTGTATAATTTACTTGAATACTTTCGTCTTGAAAAATAAGAAATCTTATAACACACCCCACACATCTACTTTCCAGTATTCAATAAACACATGGGAGTGAACAGATTATCCTTCATTTACTTTCAGATGTGTTATTCACCTCTAATGGCACCAATATCCTATACAAGAAACTGAGTACAACGGATGAGTTTGCTATTGCAGATGTTGGGGTGAGTTATTGTAGTAATACTCCTATCTCTGTTATGAAGTGATTTCTTTCTTAATTTGACACTATACTTTTGACTCGCATTCATCAACATTTTTAGACCAATAAAATATTCACCGTTGGTCCCATTTCAACATGTACTTACTTTTATAACCCCCTTGTTTATTTTATTTGTGTTTATTCTTCAGCCTGCACCAATAATGTCATGTGTATACATATGAATTATAATTTAAATGCCTTGTTTTCTGCATTCATATTTTCTCAATGAAGGGTTGGAGTTAGAAAGAAACAAAGGGAAAATTAGCATCTTATCCATTTTTTGCCTCATCACTTAATGCATTTGTCCAAGATAATTTTGGTATTCAGAAAACACCAAATTAAAATGTTTATATGCTATTTGATTTCAGATGTAAAATACAAAAATGTAATTCTTGTATTGTTGTGATTTTAGGAAACTGAGAGAGTTGTAGGCCTTGTAATAGACTCAATTAATGGCAAAATTTTCTGGTCAGATGTTGGTGTAAACTCCAATGGAATCTACAGTGCTGATATTACAGAAACTGGCATTATAAAGTCTTCCAAACAGAAAATAATCAACTGTGAGTACTGTAGGCTGCACTCACACTTAAGTCAAAAGATGAGCCCATTAGTAAGAGGAGACTTAATGATTACTTTTGTAAGGGTACAACCAGTATGGGTACTCAAATGAGGATGATTATAATTTCGAAACATCTTAAGTTTCATCTCTTAAGAGCTTTGGGTCATATTAAATTACAGAAGCTGACTGTTGGCAATGTGCAATTTTATTATTTTCATTGTAGACAGGAATCTCATGACATCTGAGTCACATTTCAACTTCCTGGTTTGTCCTCTATTGGCATGTAATTATCCATTCCTCCTATAGACTTTTCAATTCCAATTTGTAATTGAGATATTAGAATTGTGGAGTTATCATGATCTGAAATAAGTGATATTTTAATTTGCATGTGTGTGAAGGTTAACTCCCATGAGACAAAAATGACCCTGGACTGCTGTGTTTGTATTAAAAAAGCATATAAGAGGCACCATTGGTCAGTTAGTGTCACAATTATCATGAAATATTAAGAAATAAACATGAATACATCAATGTTTTTGCATCTGATTGACAAGGTTCCAGATGTTCCTACTCTAGACCCATTGTGGAAAGCGACTATGCGTTTTTGTAAATGGAGTGACTTTTTAAAAAGTAATGTCTGAATGAGTGAAAACATATTCTACTCATTTTTCCAAAATTGAAACTGCTGTTAAGGTACAGCTGGAAAGTAATATTTTGGTAAAAAATTGCTATACCAGCACATGTTATTTTCTGGTACAAAATAAAGTATGAAGACATGTGTCAATTACCTTGCTTTTTTCAGGAAAGTATCATTACATTGTCTTCTTTAAGAATATCTAGTAGGAGTTCAATGGGAACTCCACGAAATTCTGATATTTCACACTATCTATTTTTCAAAATCTTCTTTCAAAGTTTCCAGACAACACAGGAGCTACTATTGACCTGTTTCCAGGTTTACTAAAAGTAGACAGTGTAATGATACTTTCCTGAAAAAAGCAAGGAAATACACACATGCCTTCATACTTAATTGTGTACCAGAAAATAACATGTGCAGGTATAGCAATTTTTTACCAAAATGTTACTTTCCAGCTGAACCTTAACTATACACAAACTTAGTTTGTACATGTAGAGTATTCATCCTTTTTTTAAATGCAACATAATTCAGCACAACATAATAGAGTTGAAGTCTAACATGATGAATAGTCAGTCACACAAAGAAATATAGCTTACAAATCTTGTTTACTTGAAGTTCAACATGAATGAGAATCCAATGAAAAAACAACATTTTTTAAGTGTTCATAATTATATACCGTATCAACTATGCCATGTATGACCTGTATAGCTCTTTGTATATAATAGCATCTCAAGAAGGTGACATTGAGTGTCCTTTTAGGAAAACCACAAATACTGTATACCACTGAATTGTATGAACACAATGAGGAAGACACCAAGGGCAACATCAACACCCTTAAAAACTGATAAATGATTTTGAAAACTGCACTACATGAAGTGGATTTTTCCTGAAGGTGTCCCAAATAGGTTCACTTAAAAAGCATTGAACTTAGAAAAATAAAAGGGCAAAATAGTTTACATTTGGATACCTTCAAGGTCTCATTCAGAGCAAAAGCAAAAATGGGGGGGGATGGGGGAGGAGGAGGAGGTTGCTGTACCATTAGCGAATGATAATTATTGTGATGTCATTGCATTGCAATGGTGTAGTCAGGATTCTGAATAGAGGCTGACGGTAATTCCGGTTGTTTGGTTTCGGTACGGAATTGAGCATTTACCGGTATTGAAATTATTAACCGGTTAACCGACGATAATCCCCGGGGAAATAAAAGACACGTCGTTTTTTAAATTATTTCGTTTAATTGCCACTTTCACGATGCGTACATTTACATAGACATTTAGATGTCCATGTTTGGCAGTGCAGGTGTAATTTCCATGTTTGGCAGCTCAGGTGTGATGTCCATGTTTGGCAGTTCGCGGTGTAGTAGCTTCATGCTCAGGCTCAGATTTGGTTGTAGTTATGTTTGGCAGTTCCGGTGTAGTTGTAGTGTCAACGTCAGATCCAGAAACTGAATTATGTTTGTATTCTAATGTTTCCAGTTTGTATATTACCTACCCCACTACAAAGTGTCCCGAAAGTATGCCCCCCCCTAGGCAGACATACACCAATGTTCCCATAGTATGTGTCATATATCATTTTAAAGCTCATCCAAAGTTACATTGATTTGCCAAGTATCATCGTTCAACTTACGAATGGGAAAAAGTTACAGGCATTTCAAAACTTAGTGTTTGGCCAAAATTAAAATCAGTATCCTGGAAACACCGCTAACCTGAATGTGACCAAAAAATGGGTGCTTTCTTTAAAGAGAGGATGGATATTGAGTTGTAAAAAGAGGTTGGTAAGGGCAGATACTCCAAGGAAACTCTTCTAAAATGCCTTAAAAAGGTTTTATGAATATTATTAAATGCCATATTCCTATTTGCAGTGTATTTAAGGTCATATCTGGAAAGAATTGCTGCTGTTAACACGGCCAAGGGAGACGCAACGACTATTAATTTTCTGTAAAACTAAACTTTAATTTTGGTAAAACACTACATTTTGAAATGTGTGTAACTTTTTCCCGTTTGTGAGTTGAACCATGATACTTGGCAAATCAATGTAACTTTGGATGAGCTTTAAAATGATTATATGACACATACTATGGGGACATTGGTGTATGTCTGCCTAGGGGGGGGGCAATACTTTCGGGACACCCTGTATACTGCAGGTCGCTTGCTATTGATACAGTTGAGAAATGGTTTGAAATGTGTAATACATTTAATTTAAAACTAAAAATACATCTTGATTCGTAAGATAGTTACATACTATTTCGTGAAGTTCATCAGTATGGGTTCAAATCGGTCTTGCACCATGTATGCATATAGAATTGAGAAGCTACGGAGAGAATTAGGAACAAAGTGGGAGTGGCAGCGCATTGGCATTTTATCTTACATGTTTTTACCGGTATTTCGGTAACGGTACGGTTATTAGCGTGACGGTTACCGGTACTGGTCTTCAGTACCGTTGCGACCTCTAATTCTGAAATATGATAGAAAGTGAGAATTTGAAAGAATAAAATCATACATCTTACTATTTCAAGACTTTATTTTCACTTTTTTATTTGAAAAACTTAATGAGGGAATACAGTGTATTTTTCATGAAATTTGGATGAGGCAAAATAGCAGCCTTTGTGCCATGCCCTGTCAAGTAACAATGTTTATCTTCTAAATTCCAGTTGCATTTGAGGTAAATGGCATTGCCATTGATGGGTTATCACGTCATATTTACTGGACTGATGTACAAACAGGAAGCGTGAATGTTGCCAACTACGATGGGTCCTCACATAGGATGCTTATTCGAAAAAATCTTGTTAAACCTCGCTCAATATGGGTCAATTCAGAGGAAGGGTGAGTATTGATATCTTAATTTTTTAAACATGCAATGTCAATGCGGAAGAGTCAAGACACTTCAGTGGAGTTTTTGCATAAAGTACAATATTTTGTATTTACATTGTGTTTTTTTTAAATTTAGAGTTCAGTCTTCAGTAAATTTTATGATAGTGGACTCTGACCTATAAAAATGTTCAATAAACATAATATTAAAAAACATATTTACATGCCACCATGTAAAAAATATATAACCTAAAACTCATAGTTTATTTTTTTTAATATAGATGGCTCTACTGGGATGACCAGGGTACAGGAAAGGTTGAAAGGTCAAGGTTAGATGGCTCTGGTAGGTCAGATATCATGTCTACTGGACTGAGATGGCCCAATGAGATCACCCAGAAAGATGGGTAAACATTTAAATTTTATATTATTTTGCAATTTTATATTTAATGACATCTTTGATTACTATGGAAGTCTTAACAATATCAACATATTTTAGTACATGTATTATACAAGTATGAACATCTATGATACAAGTGAAACGATACCAGTGGAAAGGTATTTTTTTTCATTGGTATGAAGACTTATACTCAAGAGGTTTATAATTCAAACAAGTTACTTTAGTTTTTATGTGATTTGATAAAATTCTTTTCATTTTGAATACAGCAATGTCTACTGGGTAGAGGCATGGAACAAAACTCTTGAATACTGGGATGGTGACATTGTTGAGACACTACCTCTAGAGGAGCATACAGGAATCGGCAACCCCATCTTTGGACTCGCCTCCATTGAAAATCATGATTTTCTATATGCCTCAGTTTGGAATGTTGGCAAAATACTTCAAATTGATGTTACAAATCGGAAAATTGAGACAATAACTGAAGGACTGGGAAGTGAGGCAATGTTTGGTGTCGCCATCTATGTAGCAGGGTCAAGTGCATATTCAGGTAAGGAAAAATATGTGTGATATATTTATCATCCCAGATATAGAGCCATGTGTTCTTTTTTTACATTTCTCATGAGATTTTAACCATCAAATCATATATCCAAATGTGTTCTCACAGAAGTAAAACATTCAAAATTTTTTTTATAGCTATGCTTATTATCATCACTTGAAAAAAATTGGTTCTCCGTTACACTTCATTATGTTATACCACAAGAAGTGACGACACATTGCTAACGCCTCCAACTTTTTTATGGCCGGTGTTCGGTATTCTGTTGTTGGTGTTTGGCATCTGTAACAGCATTCAGTGGTTGGTGTCTGTGACAAATGGCATGTGGTGACATTTCGCAGGTTAATGCTGTATTTTTTTGGATTGTTATATTATTCATGAATAATTCCAGCTAGTGACCCATGTGCCAATAACCCCTGTTCAGACCTGTGTCTACCAGTTGGAACCAGTTATAGATGCTCCTGTCCATCATTTGGTGGAAAGGTCCTAACAGGAAATACTTGCTCAGGTAAATAGTGTTGTATAAATCACTCAACTTTATCAAATTGTGATGGAAAAATAAGTGTCAATTTAAGTCTTATCATACTCAGTTTAAAAGATGTTTACTATTGTCGGTCAGTCGACAGAGGAGATATTTGTCTTTATTTGTTCTGTTGTCATGGAAAGAATGAATTTCCTAGTGAAAGTTTTTTACCAAATGAAGACACTTTGTTGAATGGATCATGTTTGCTTTTCCCACAATACTCTAAATAGTACATGATTGTATAGTTCTTATATACAGTATAAGCATGAATTGTTGCAGTTCCGGAACAGATTGTTTTGTATGCGAGTGCAGATGATGGGGAAGTGGGTGTGATGTCATCAGGCCAGGGAGCCAATCAGGAACGCAGCACAATTGCCCTTAGTGTGCGTCCAGTCGCTGTAGGCTATGACCCAGTTGATCAGGTAGTTAAGAAATTATAAAAACTGTAATCGAAGGATGTTGTCTTCATTGAAAATATGTATTACCCCTCTAAATACATGTATATATTCATTTAATTATTGTACTTGAGTTGATTTTAAAACCCAGGGTTCCAGCATCATCCACATTGTTCCTTCCTCACTGAGTGGATCATGTCTGGAGCCCTGTGTTTGGAGATTGCTACATGGTATAGTGTGGAGTGATCTAACACTAACTGCAGTAAACAGAGCAATCACTTACTGAAAATAGATCTATATTTAATACAGCTGAGACTAGCTGAGAATATATGTATATTTAATGCAATAAATGTTTCAAGATGGTATATTGGAGTGATGTCACACTGAGGGCAATATACAGGGCATCACTGACTGGTAACGGATTAGATATGGAGGTGTTTCTCAACACAAGTCACTCACTGGGTGTGGTTGATGGTAAGTCTGTTTTATTCACTCTTGAAAATGAAGATACAAGTTATTACCCCCCTCAACACTTCTCAGGACAGTCATAAAGGCTTTCTGGCAGAGATATATCATCTATTTAAGGAGCCCTGATAAACCCCTTCGTTTACGCTTTTTGCGGAACAACAAATTCCATTAATTCAATTAATGTTGTTACAATCAATAGTTCTACAATATTTTAAATTGAACACATATATAAACAATTAACACATTTAACATATTTTAATTTTATTTTAGGTTTATACATGGACTATATGAACAGACGTCTCTACTTTTCAAACATGGGAACTGTAGGAGTTGACGATGTTGCATACAGCTGGCATAAAGTAGAAATGATTTCACTGGATGGAACAAATCGTCGTGAAATTGTTACTGACTCTCAGAACCCCCGCGATGTTACTGTGGATTTTGAAGGTGGATATTTGTACTACACGACGTGGGGATCAGATGCAAAGGTTGTGCGAACTTCTCTTGATGGCCAGGATACAACTGTGCTCAAAACTGGGCTTGATAACCCAAATGCTGTTGTAATGGCTAGAGATGACATTTATGTCATAGATTCCCATGCTAAGACAAGAGAAGGGGGTCAAACAGGGATAAATGGTGCTTTATACAAGATGAACAAAAATGGAGAGAATTGGGTTAAAGTATTGGATGACCTACAGGTATTGCTCAATTTATGGAATTAGTTAGTCTTTACACCATTATACTTTGTGATGTGTTATAGCATACTTATTTTGTTGTTTAGTGCCATGAATGATAATTCAGAACTACAGTTAAATGCAGCATTATTAGGAAAATTACTTTAAGCTGTTTCATTAACTCACCATCTCCTGATCAATAAACACTATTTACTATTTGAAGAATTTTTCGTTCTGTTTGGGTAAAAGCTATCCTAAGATGATAATTTATTTTGTGTTTATTTAAGACACCGTTTGGATTGGCATCTAGTGGAGACAAGTTTTACATCAGCGACTGGGGCAAAGAACAGATTCTCAGTTATTCGATAGATGGCGCCACAACTACCAATGTTATTCTTGATGATATTGCTACACCCACTGCCCTTCATAGTTCTCAAAAAATGGTTACACTGCCAGGTAAATATGCATATCTCACACCAGTTTCACTTCAATGTAAACATGTTTCATGCCACTGTATTACAGCAAACTAAAAACAATTTAAATTTCTTCTCATTAGTATCACAACCAGGCAAAGCAAACATTCTTGTTTCACAGCACATGTTCATTTTCAGATGATTTAAAAGCAAACATTCATATCTCACACCATGGTTTCAAACCCTGAGAACAGTCAAATTATTACAGTACAGTAAAACCTGTCTAAGTGAACACCTATCCCAAGTGGACACCCTTCCTTCTCACATACTCCACTGACCTCTTTATGAATTTCCCTCTCTCTAGTGAACACCTACCGACAGTGAACATTCTAGGCAAAAACTATTGATTGTACACAGGTTATTCTATACTGTAAATGCATTATGCAATTCATGGTCTTTCTTTAATACATATTGTGTCATTTTTAAACAATCAAGAAATGTTCCAGAAGTTGTACACAATTATTCGTAATCATTCATAATCACCTTGACCTAATTTCACTAGTAATGAAATAGCCCAGCATCTTTTTTCCAGGGGAGAGTGGAGTTTGCTCAACAGCAAGTAATACCTGTCAAGAGATCTGTACCACAGAACCAGGGGGCAGTGAAGTGTCATGCTCATGTAGCTCCTATGATTATCTCCACCTTAAGGCTGGAACACAATGTTCAGGTAGGCCTATTACATAGACTTGGCACACAGGTCTGGTCTATTAAAGCTGCAGTATTGCTAAATAAACATTAAATGGAAATGTTAAATAAGCAGTCAGCCTTAAATTAATAATAAGTAGGTATATTCTCTATGTTTTGTGAAAGTTTCAAGGAAAAATATTGAAAAATAAAAAAAATGAAAATGTTTTTGCATGAACTTATTGAACAACCTGTACAAAACAGTTTCCACATAGGATAGACATGTAAATCCTCATATTTCAGAATTTAAAACATACCTTGCTTAATTCATTTTACTTGAAAATCATCTTACTTGAAAATCATTTTATTTGAAAACCATTTTGTGGCTGAACCGATAGGCATAATAAAGCTACTGGTTGGTTCTGGGAGTTCAACATGTGTTTTAGTGATATTATTCATTTTCCCTATTTTTAGCCCCAACTAGCTTCATTGTGTTTGCGGACTTCAACAGCATTAAGATCATTGGCCTTGACTCTGACAATCCTGAAAGCCATGTTCTTGTGGAGGGTAACAGCTATGTGTCCAATTTTGTAGCTGTTGCCTTTGATGGAAATAGTAAAGTATACTATGCTGATGTAAATACGTAAGTTATATTCAATGAATTTTCTTAAGAATCATTGTTCTCATTCATTTAAAACTAGATTTATTGAAACAAGAGCATTTTCATTTAACAAGATAACACTTTACAATATACCTTTGATAATATAAATATAATGAGCATTGATCCTTTCTGCATTTTACACATTTTAAAGATTAGTTGTGTTGATTGGGTTAAAATTGCCAAAGACCATTTTTTTAAGTAAACAAATTCTGTGACAGTTAGGTTTGAGTGTCAAATTCTTCGGTCAAATTCTCCCAATCTTTTTGCAGAAAGACCAATGTTTGATATGTTCATTATCTTGTATGAGTTGTTTTGACATTGTATAATGTCACTTCCATATAGCTTTGCCTCTTGGAGAATTGTTGAAATATCTTTTAAGAATGAAGTTCTGATGTAAGAATAATTCAAAAACCAAATTGATTATATTGTTTTCAGATATGAGATTTTCTACACCACACTAGATGGCAGCACTAAACACCAGCTGGTGTTCAAATCTGAAGACAGCATAGATGGCATGGCCTTGTATGGTGGGCGTCTCTATTACACAAGTTTTAACCGAGGGTTGATTGCGACTATTAAACTAGATGGGGAAGACAAAGATAACATCGAGTTAATCTCATTACTCGATAGGCCACGGGCTATAGAGGTCAAGGTCATTGAAAGCAAGTATGTTCCATAAAAATGTTTTGGTCATCTAATATATGACCCATTTACTATACATTCTAAAAATCTAAAATGATATTTATAAGGAAAAATACCTATTTGCAGATAAAATTCCTTCCAAGAAAGATACTTCATGGAATTCCATAGTGCCATTTCAATTTTACTTTTTATGTCAAAACATGACACCTTGACATCAATTAAAAATGACCCATTGACATCTAAAAACATGATCCATTGACATTTTACAACATGCTCCCTTTGTTTTTAAAAACATGATCCCTTCACATCTCTAAACATGCTCCCTTGATATTTTAAAATATAATATTTTGTGAAACATGCTTCCATCATATTTTAAACATAAATCCTCTTTGCATTTTAAACTTGCCCCCCTTGTATCTCAAAACATGCCGCCTTGGCATTTTAAAACATGTCCACTTCACGTTTTAAAGCATATTCTCTTAGCATTTTTAAACAACCCCTTTGCATTTTAAGATATGCTCTCTTGAGATTTTTAAACATACCCCCTTTACACTTTACTTCATAATCTTCCAGACCATATTTGTTCTGGTCTGAGTGGGGTAACAATACAGCTGTACAGAAGATGCAACTCTCATTGGATGGACGTGCACCAGAGTCATCAGAGAATCTCCAGATTTCCCCTCAACTCACTTGGCCCAATGGACTTGCTGTGACAGAGCGTCGACTCTATATTGCTGATGGCAACCCCATGTTGCGCAAGATTCAAAACTGCTCTTTAACTGGTAAGTTGATATGAGAAGTTTGTGTTCTGTTTTGAATGTGAAATTAATGTTTAAGCGGAAAATTCAGTTTTGTACCTGTATAAAAGGCTTAAAATCGAGAATAAAATAAATATTTTTGAAAAGTTCTGAAATTTATATCGATTGAGAAGACCAACACAAACTTACATTTAACAAAGTTACGGTACAAACATTATTTCAGTACAAGCTCATTTTTTCACTTTCTGCACCATAGGGGGTACTTCATCTACTCCAAATATGCTAATGGTTCTTCTAATTTGCCATTTTTCTTGATATTTGTGGTATTATGGTAATAAAACAGCTTGGATTGCAATATAAATTTGTGGGGGAATTTATGAAGACTTCCAGTTTGCATTTTAAGACTGCCATAATGGTATCACAAAATAATCAGTTTAACACGATGTTTTCTGAGTCTATATGGGGATATTAGGAGGCGTATCTAATTGCATTGAGGAGCATTTTGGTTTTATGTAAAATACATGGAGGTGCTGCACCTCAGAGATTTCAATTTCGGGAGAGCACTGGAGTGGAATGTTAGACCATAGTTTCTGTGAAATGAAATGGAATGTTTGTTTGTTTTCTTATGACTTAATTAATGTATAATTTAGGATGGATAAAAAACTCATTTTGATGGAACGAACAATGTATACCATAATATTTTATACTGTCACATTCATTTTTTCATAGGCCACAACTGCAATGACTTGGGATATTTCACCAACAAATCTGAGCATCTTTATGACATAGAAATGGTCTCTATGAGCTCTGGGAATGGCAATGACTACATGATCTACACAGACTGGAAAGACAAATCATTATCTATGTACAACTTGCAAACTGGTGAGTTGTTTTTAGAGTCAAAATCCTTATTTTTACACACAAAGAAATAAGATGCCGTGTAATATAGATTGAACTGGTACAATGTTTTTCACAATTTCCTCACTAATTAATGTCAAATATACATATATGGATAAAATTGATGACGAAATGTCTCTTAGTTGTAAATATATCATAGATATGATAATAATATAGAAAAAACTAGCACTCATTTGCAGGCTCAAATGTTTCTCAGATCATATTGTTGATATTGCACCCATTGAAGTAAATTTATACTTTGACACACCATAAACTAAAACTAATTATTTTCTTTAGTATTTTTTACCATTGTATGTTATCTTTGTGAACTTTAAGATGAAAAGATTTTATCTCAGCTCTCTGCTATTACACCTGCACTTTTGATAATAAGAACTGTCTATACATAGTCCTTTCTCTATCAGTACATTGATTCTATAGATGTATCATGTAACATGTAGCTGAAATGTATTTTTCTAGGTGATATCACTGTTCTGGCTGACAACCTTATGAGGCCCACTCAAGTTGCTGTTCATATTACAACACCAACAACCACAGGTAAAACATATTATATATCTCAGGAATTTCATTGTCATCATCAAGAAGTGGTGATATATTTTGATAGCAGCCATTTTTGTGACTGGTATTTGGCATTGGAATTAGATATTTGGCATTTTTGGCACTTGGTGTTTATTAAGTATGTTACTTCAGATTTGAGGCAACATCTGTAACTTATTAGTCTTTGGATTAGCAACTACAGATTTACTAAAACACGATACATGGGATACAACAAAATATGGGATATAATCAAACAGAATATGAGGGGAAACATAGTGAAGACCATACCTATATATCATCTTTCAGAATGTCCTAGCAACCATGGCTGTGAAGTAGCATGTGTGGTAGACCCCACTGGATATCATTGTAGCTGTGGACTAGGAAAGACTCTCAATGCTGATGGCAAAACATGCAAGACAGGTTAGACTCTTTATATTGCATTCCGTCATACAAACTCACATGAGTCCACCCGTATACAAACTCACTTGCGGTGAGCTGTGCTTTTTTGTTTCAGTTTCTAAATACTTTCCAAAGAAATGTCTGCTTGCTAATAAAGAACAATATATGTGAGATCCATTAATTAAAGTTAATTAGAGTTAAATTATTTTTTTGTTTGATTTTGAATTTAGTGTATGCCAAAGTGGAGAAAGTAGACATGAGTGCATGTTCATCTCCCTGTGGGGAATATGAGGTTTGTGGTCGTACTGTGGGGTCTGCAAATCTTGAATGCGTCTGTGACAAAGGTCAAGGTCATGCCAGTAATGCAGGTTGTTATGGTGAGTACACAACTGGGTTGTTGATTCAGATTTTGTGACGTACATGATTGTATGTACGTGTACTTCAGACCTACAAATCTATCTGATATTTATGGAAATGTATCATGATAAATGATCTGTTTTGACAGAATTATGTTTTGTCAAAGTACTATAATATTTCATTACATGTATTCAGGGTTTAACAATTTTAAAACATTTATTCAAAATAATCAAAATTCGAAAATTCTTGTTTCTTTTCAGCATGTGCAGTAGGTTTGTACAAAGATTTTGTCGGCAACCAGCCTTGTAAACCGTGTCCAGAGGGGACTGGAGGAGAGGATGTAGGGGCAACGTCATGCTCATGTACCTCAGAATACACGTGGTATGAGGGGGCATGTAGAGGTGAGGGACTATGATGATGAAAAAGGTCATGGTGATCATGTTTTTAAAAGCAAAGTAGAGTGGAAAATAGAGGAATCGGTGGGGGCAATGTCATGCTCATGTACCTCAGAATACACGTGGTATGAGGGGGCATGTAGAGGTGAGGGACTATGATGATGAGAAAGGTCATGGTGATCATGTTTTTAAAAGCAAAGTAGAGTGGAAAATAGAGGAATCGGTGGGGGCAATGTCATGCTCATGTACCTCAGAATACACGTGGTATGAGGGGGCATGTAGAGGTGAGGGACTATGTTGATGAGAAAAGTCATGGTGATCATGTTTTAAAATGCAAAATAGAATGCAAAATAGAGGAATCGATCGAGTATAACAGATTGAAGGTCAATATATTAATTTGTGCTCTGTGTGACAAGCAGTTATGTTTGGGGGAGGGGGTGATAAATCATTTTGCAATTAATTTTTCTTTAATGATACCAAGTGGTATGAAGCTTCATACAGTAAAGCTTAAAGATTATAATGCTTTTAATCACTCAATTTAAAATACTTCTAACATCCAGCAAGGTATACAGGTATATAGGTCTCCCATACGAGTTTTTTAGTCTAATAAGTAATCAATTCTCAGTAGAGTCATTTAACACCATGAAATCGGGTGCTTGCTTTGTAGCATGGGGAATTTTAGCAGTTTCAAGCATTGGACAACAATTATTGTAATCTCTTTATAGTGGATGCATGCTTGGTTGAAGGGACAGCATATGCTTTAGGGGAAACCTATTCACCTAATAGCTGTACTACTTGTGAATGTAAGGATACAGGACCACAGTGCACCTCCCAGACCTGTCAGGAACTACTTTGTGAAGAGAAAGTAGTCCCAGCTAGGGAATGCTGTCCAGTGTGCATTAGCACAACACCTGCCCCTGTTACTACCCCTGCAATTGGAGGTACAATTTACCCAATAGCTTGTTAACACAAGTAATCATCTTAATATATATCACATTGTAGCCAAAATTACAAACTGTTTGTAAACAATAAAGACAGGTTTAAAATAATGCTTATATTTGCTTAAATAAGTGGATTGTATTTAGTTAACTTTCAATGGTATAGGGTTTACGCAAAAGACCGACCCCACCGACCACCGACCGGTCGGTGTTTTCCACTTGTAGCCTCATAACAGGGTTTGAAGAAAATGTGTAAAAGACCGACCATATCATGTAAAAGACCGAACATATTTGTAGCCTTAAAATATTAATAATTTGATTTTGAATGTCAATCGTTGGACTAGGCAACAGTTTTTACCGATTTTGTATCTTGCAACGAATGGCAAGCAAACAAATTAGGCATGACCGTCTCCTCTCGATTAATTGTCCTGCCTTAGGTCCTAACCTATCATTAACCAACCCATCGTTTCCACGGGAATCTATCCTAATTTTTTACTGAAATTTAACAATTTCGAAACAAAAATGATTTGTTATCGTCATAGCCTACTGAATACTGAACACGATATAATGTTACATGCGTTCTCTTATCGGGATTAAAAGTGACTTACCATTTCAGTACACCATTAGAAAGCTTTTTTTGTCATATCAAATGTAGTTTTTACCAGTTGACGTTTAACAACTGAGAAATCAAACATAACGTTACGACGTCAACATCGACGATGTTTGTGTGTTTTTGTTATTGCGTTTCATATGAATGAAGAATGAACTTAATGCAATGTTACGTGCGTTTTTTTCCAAAGTGACAAACCAGGATGAAATTGGTCTTCTAACAACTGAAACATCACTTAAAAATATGACATTACACACCACGACGATGTAACGTTTTCATCGTGATTTGAAATGATAATTATACGTTTTTAAATCACGATGTAGTAAAGATACTATAGTCATTGGATTCCCAGTTTTACTTCTAATTTTGCATTTTTTCATCTTTATGTAAAAGACCGTCAGCCGACCACCGACCACATGTACCCAACTATGGAGAGTGACTGGTCGGTGGTCGGTGGTCGGCGGTCGGTGTTTTGTTTTGAGGCTACCAGTGGAAAACACCGACCGGTCGGTGGTCGGTGGGGTCGGTCTTTTGCGTAAACCCTGATGTTTAATAGCCTTCGATTAAGATGGGTTGAGTTATATATTACATGTATGCAGAGGGGAAAGATTCAATGCATTTTTAATTTTGCTTTTTTCACACAACTTAATTTTGAGTGAAACTTAAAACACAATGAAATATTATTTCACTGCTTTTACATTATGACCAATTAATAGAAAATCTATCCTCAGTGAATTTAAAGTGAGAATCTAGCGAGCAACCTAATAGCCGAACAAAGATTGTTTTTATCATAAACATGAATAAAATTTTCAAGAGATATGATATATGAAGATTGTAACGATCGAGTGCATTGGGAGGTCACTCAGTAGTGCATTTTGATTGTAATATAGACACCTCATTTAGAACTGATACAGCCTTTAAATTCCAGCTGAATTTTGGAAATGCTCATTCATAAGCACCCATGAAGTTAGATATATTCACAGAAGCCTCCCTTGAACTATTGGTTGAACTTATATTGGGCTTGGGCTGGACAATATGCCAGGCTGTCTATAAAAAAAGAAAATCTTTTACATGATGTTTTATTTTGTTTAGCTTTTACAAATTGCAACGAAGATGAGCAAAGTCTACAACTTGAAAAAGGACGTGATACGATCAAGTCATCATACATGTTAGAATACCAGCCCCAAAATGCTACCTTGAGCTACGAGCCCATATCTTATCCATATGTGCGTTTTACGGGACAACAGATAGATGTCACTGGTACATTGAAATGGAATGATAAGGTTGAACAGTGCACATTTAAAGTTGATGTAGAAGGTAACAAATTGTCTGACCTTTTAAATTACAGTACATGTACTGTACATGGATTGTACAGTAAAACTTCCTCTGAACATACTCTTTTTTCTCAGCGAAAGTGTTTGATATACATAGTTTTAATGTATGTTGACACACACTACAGCCTATCTGTGTCTAGAAAAATTAGAGGTGATGTCTAAATATTAACAGCTGTGGAAGAGAAGTTATTAGAGGGAGAGATAAACAGTTATTTAGGATAAAGTATTGATTTGGCAAACCTTTTTTGAATATTTTTCTCATTGATAATCAAACAGCGCTCGCTTATCCCTTAACAAGTTACTCAAACTCAGAATTGTAATTGTTGTTTAATGCCATAGTATGTATAAAATTCTATCATTAATTTCATAAGGTGCAAAGAAATTGCCAACAGGGTTGTGTGTAATTTTCAAATTTTTGATGGGGTGCAGCTATTGGTTGCTCTGCTCACTAATAATACTCCTCATGAGGAACATGGAAAACTACAGATTCATATATTTTGTAGATAAAGAACGCCCCACTGTTCAGTGTGAAGACGTATCTGTATTCTTGGGAGAGGCTGGGAAGGCTGCAAGTGTGTATTGGATGCCACCAAAGGTAACAATGCTGTCGTTAAACTGTTTACTTTAGAGGAACACATCTGGATGATTTATTTGAAAACTTAAAATGCATCTTTTTTGTAAACAAATATTTGGCCTCCAAAAATGTACTGTAACAATTTCATTCACAGGAAGTTCTTTCAAATAGGATGTTTTCATTGTTTTGTGTATGACTAGCAAATGAAGAATTTTTTTGTTCCTTTTGCCTTTTTGCATCAATAAAGCATTGGAACTCATACTGGTGAGAAGGATTGTTTAATTGGAATGTTTTAATGATCACCCTTTAGGTGACAGACAATGTGGCAGAAAGCACCGAGTTGCAAGAAGATCTTGTGTGTTCCCCCTATTCCTCTGGAGATCCTCTAAAAGAGGGCGCTTATGTTGTTAACTGCAAAGTGCAAGACTCTGCAAAGAATGAAGGGACATGTAGCTTCAGCGTGTCTGTACAGAAAAATGGTAAGAATAGTTTTACAGCCTAAAATATAAACTGATTGTACTATCATACTTGGATCTGAATGGTCAGGATAATGAAAACCGGTAAATTTAATGAGCACAAACATTATTGAAATCACTACGAAGGAAAATGTTTTCTACATGTTACTCTTACAAGTATTTCATGGCATCTGGTTAACATGGGACTACAATGAAACCCAGAGTATTATGAGTAACAGGAAATTACCCTTTCAATAGAGCAAGTTATGTTGTCTTTAGCATTTTCTCTAGTTGACATTTATAGGCCCAAACAGCCCGCTCACATTATCTTAATGTACAAATTAAGAGTCTTGTTCACATAATTTACATAATTATATAAGAAGAACATTTGAACATTCGTATAGAAAGCCTGTGTAAATGGAATATCTTTCAAATGGAACACTTTTCTATGCTTCCAAGGGTGTTCCATTTACACATGATTTACGGTACAGTAGGTAGAACCTGTCTAATCTGAACACCTCTGGGACTGGCCATGCCAAAATTGTTCAAATTGAATCCAAGGAACTGAAAAGACTGTTCAGACAAGAAAAGTTTTTTTGATAAACAGGTTTTACTGTATCACATATTGTATATATTACAGTGGGAAAGTGTCCCACTCCTCCAAACATCACTGGTGGGAAGTTTTCCTGTAAGGGAACAGAATGTAGCGTGACATGCAACGAGGGACGCCAATTCTCTGGGTCATTTCCACCAGTATACAGTTGCAAGACAGACACCTGGAGTCCAAAATTTCCTAAAAACCTAGCTGCCTTTGCCTGCAAAAGTAAGTGATTGAAATACCCCCCTCCCTAGCTGCCCCAGATGCAATTTGGACAAATGAAAATAGCATTGAAGTAATAATTTATGGTATGTTCTCAAGACATGTTTATTTTATGATTCTAATATGTTACATAAAGTGAAGAAAGGAATGCCGTATATCTGCCATAGTTCTTTGACATTTCAGATTTGCTCTGTTAGTGAAACAGACCTACAAGTAAAGTATCAATCGATGAAAATCAAAAAATTCAACACACGTTCTCTAAATTGACCTATTTTTGTAGAACTCCGTAGCAAGCCAATTATGATCCAATCCACAATTAAGTTAGACTACTCCGGAGAATGCTCAACTGCAACAAAAGAACGCCTCATAGATGAATCACGAACGTTGCTGAGGAATCATGGGGCATGTATGCATTCTGGCAATTCATTTTGCCAGGATGGTGCGTTCACCGCAAAATGCGAAAATTCTGTAAAACGAGAAGCACCTGGAACTGCAGTCATGTGGGATGTAGTGATAGTAGATAGGTATGACTATGGTAGTATATCATTTCAAAATGTTTCAGTTATTTTTGACTCACATGGTTAAGCCTATGGAATTACCTACTCGTTCATCTGTCCATCTTTCTATTACACCATTGGTCCCAGCTCCAATTACCTTTGCCTGTTGACATATTATTGTATATATCTATTACACTTAAGTGAATCTGCTTTTCAGTCCATTTAATATTCAGATAGTAATTGTGTTATAAGATTGCCTTTTCATCTGTTTATGCAGGACATATGTGTCGTTGTGTAAAATAGGCACCAATGAAGTTCCCAAATTACCCGAGTATTCATTTTTTTTTTATTCTGCCAGCCTGCCTTACCATACCTAAAGGGAAATTACTGATTGTACTCTGCCTACCTAATTAACCAGATATCTCATTTTATTCAGCCGCAAAACAAATGATCTCTTTATTTTCAGTATGGATGGTACAGTTAAAGCTGATGACATCAACATTGATCTTGATGAAGTTATTGAGGATATACAGGTCAAGACTGTCACATATACTGTAGATGGGGGTGAGGTGACTCTACTTGATATTTCAAAAGAAACAGGTTTGTTGGATAGCTTGCACGCCTCAAGCAACTGGCTGATATGGCTTAAGATTATATTTTTTTTTTATTATTATTTATTGCTCTCACTATTTACAACAGTGGCACATGAGGAGTATCAGTGCGGCAGAATGACATATCATTAAAATACAACATATTACAGCATTAAAAAACATTAAAATATTTGTTAAAATACATTACAATACTGATAATAGACTTTTATCTTCATTGTCATTACAGAAAGTGAAAGTGAATAAAATCAATGTTTGAATATCTCTTTATTGATATCAACTAAAAATGTTTTTGATAGCTTATCAAAAGTAGAACCTAGGTCCTGTCCCCAATATATAGCTACATCATCCCCCAAAATCCAACGTGTTTTCTCAGAAATGGAAAGTTGTAAAAAACTATTGACAATTGAATCCGGGCATTCTTTATTAAACTTTTCAAAAAACACATTTCGTTGTGTTGTTGTGGATGGGCAAGTAAATAAGCGGTGTTCAAGTGTATCTTTTTCTGAGAGGCAAGTACTACAGAACCCATCTGACAGTCCCCTCCTTTCAAGATCAGTATTCAAGCCCAGACATTTAGCGCGAGCTCTGAATTTGATATGCTGGCTGTAAAAATCCATGCCTGTTTTCAGATAATTTTCTAAAAAAGTATGGTTCTTAACAGTCTTGAATAGTGACAATGATGATTTATCGCATATTGCCTCATTAAAGCATCTTACCCATTGTTCATTTGAAATATTTAAATAAGATGTGTACCAGTTAGTATCGTCACGGTATATAACATCATCAAGTCCAACCTCAGTTAGGATTGAGTGGACATTTTCCATAAAAGGCCATGGTGCCTTGTGACCAAGCTTAAACTCATGTAGCAAATAATTGAAAATATCTTTATGGAGTCCATTCTTCAAGGAACTTTTTAAATAAATAAAATAATCAATCTGGCGTTTATGTATAATATCACAGATTGGTCTCCACCCAAGGTCACCAAGGAGGGATTCTCTTGCAGGGTTGCATTTGAGTTGCATTAAGGCCTTAGCCATTTTGTATTGCATAGTGCTAAGATATTTTTCGGTGGTCTTATTCAGTAACATTACTCCACAACCATGGAGTATTGCAGGCAAAAACATTCCGTTATACATTGTATTGCCAAAATCAATTCTTTTCATATTACAATGCTTTGTCAGTGTAGAGCAAATCATATTTTGAATTCTTCTTGACTTGGGTTTTAAAGTGTCTTTAATGTGGTAAGTATCCTTCAAAGAACGGTCAAAATAGATACCCAAATACTTGTAGACTTTTACTTCTGTCAATTCATGTTCCCCTAATATCCATTTTTTCTCATAATTGATTCTTTGCCCTATAACCATTACTTTCGATTTTTTCGAATTAAATTTAAAACCCGTATCCAACTGCAAAAATGTCAGTTACTTTTAAAAGTTTATTCAATTGCTGCTCAGACTCGCCCATAAGCACTATATCATCGGCGAAAAATAAAGATGGAATTTTTTTACCTTTAAAGTCAAAGCCAATGTTTTCCTTTTCAAGTGAGCTTAATAAGTCGGTCATTATAATAGAAAATAATGTTGGGGAAAGGCAGCAACCTTGTTTTAAACCTGTTTCTGAGTCATACCATGGAGTTGAAAAATTTCCAAAAACCACCTTATTAGATATACCTTCATATGTTTTCCTCAGGAGTCTCCAAAATTTACCCTGTATCCCTTTTTCCCATAATTTCGTAAATAAAATATCCCGATCAATCACGTCGAAAGCCTTGGAAATATCAATAAAAGCCAAAAAAGATTTTTTGTTCTTTGCCTTTCTTATGCCACATAGGCCCTTTAAGGCAAATATATGGTTTTCCAATCTCAAGTTGGATCTGAAGGCACCTTGTGTATCCCCAAAGATATTTCTTTTTTCACAAAATGACCTTAATTTACTTTCCATGATAGAAGTGAAAACTTTATAAACATTAGAATTAACTGTGAGGCCCCTGAAGTTATCTAAATTCTCAATATCATTATTTTTGTGCAGTGGTTTTAATAGGCCTTCTTTCCATTCTTTAGGAATCAGCTCCAATAGTCTTACCTTGTTAAAAAGGTCAAATAATGGTTTCATTAGCGCAACTCCACCATTTTTCATAAATTCATTCGGTATCTGATCTGTTCCACAAGATTTCCCATTTTTCAAAGTTTTAATACATGTGGTTATGTCATCAAATTCAAAAGCGCAAAATAAAAGTGAGTCGGTTGAAAAATTTGACATTGACTTTAACTCATCAATTCTATCCTCAAGGGAAGGTGTGACATGTTTAGGGTTCTTGTTAACTTTACCAACACTACCCCAGTACTTAATGAGGGCATCTGAAATTTGCTTGGGGTCTGTTAATATTGTGTCAGTGTCGTCGGGGTTTTTAATCTGTATGGGATACCCGGCATTAGCATTAAACATGGTCAGCGTTGTTGTTGAATTCTGTGCTAATGACAGTTTAAATCCTTGTTAACAGAGTAGATCTATGATTGAATATGTCCTTAAAATCTTTGTCATTTTCTATTAATATTCCTCATGGTTACGCTGTTGCTTTAATTTCCAAATGTTGATTTTTGTATTTCTTTTATTTCAACTTTAATTAATCCTGCTTTTCATTTTCAGAATCAAGGAAAGCTGCATGTCCCCCTGGTGAAATAGTCAGTAATCAGAACTGTGGTATGTGATTTCATTTTATTTCAGGCTCGTAAAAATATAAAATCGTAGGATAAAAAAACTAATTGGTATGTCACGCCTTAGTTGTAGTTCTTAAAAGTTAAATTCAATAGACCCTTTGCCATCCTAACCCATTTTGGTGAACTTAGAGGGGACTAGGTTTATATTGCTTAGATTTATGTTGTTAGACATGTAGCTTGCAGGCAGGAATGGTGTTCTCAAACAAAGTTGAAAGAAGTTATTAAAAATTAGCAATATCTTAATCCGATTTCTACAATGCAACTAAAAAATTACATAAAGGGGTAACATATTCCAGAGAAATCTGTCACAACATTGTATCAAACTCACATCTTACATATTCCAGAGAAATCTGTCACAACATTGTATCAAACTCACATCTTGCATTTTCCAGAGAGATCTGTGACAACATTGTATCAAACTCACATCTTGCATATTCCAGAGAGATCTGTCACAACATTGTATCAAACTCACATCTTGCATATTCCAGAGAGGTCTGTCACAACATTGTATCAAACTCACATCTTGCATATTCCAGAGAGATCTGTCACAACATTGTATCAAACTCACATCTTGCATATTCCAGAGATCTGTCCAGCTGGAAGTAAACAAGAAGATGCTGATTGTGTTGTGTGTCCGATTGGTGAATACCAAGGATATGAGGGGTCCACATCGTGTGATAAATGTCCTGAGGGCACAACAACAGATCTGACAGGCTCCTTCACATTGCAGCAATGTAGGTTCTTTAAAGGATATAAGCCCAGAGCTTGATGATGTGGATGCTTTTAATCTCAAGGCTCTTGTATGAGAAGACAAGACTTAGTCAGTTAGCAAGTGCCTTAATCACTCCAAAGTCATGTGAATTTTGTCACATACATGTATTTCAAAACATTTTGAACAATATGATGAAAGATAATGAAATCCAACTCTTTTGTAAGGCATTTTACAAGATCAGCGTTGTGTATTCAATCCTGGATTTCATTTACTTTCAAATCATGAATTAGCCCGAATCTTTCATTCAAAACCATGTTCATTCTTGTATTACATTTATAAACTTTATAAAACAGGAACATATGATTTATTCAAGAAGTGATTTTGATTTGAAAATTCCATCTCGTTTTGTTAAACTAAGTGTAGAAACCAGTACTGCAAAACGTAATAAAACATATTATTCATCATACAATGTAGTCTATTTCTCCTGTCTCCAACATTACATTAATTACATTGTTCCAGGTCGTCCTATTGTTAAAAATCCTGAGAAAACAATGATGAAGGACACTCCTGTGGGACTTATTGTTGGTGTCGTTGTAGCAGTCATCGTGTTGATCATTGTCATTGTTGTTGTCGTTTGTCTGATGAACAGGCGGAATCGTAAACCAGCTGGCTACCTTCAAGCAGATGACGGGTATGGTTTAGTTATAGTACATGTATGTAATAATTGCGAGGTCCTGCCATTTTTTAAAAAAATGCACATTTTGTGCCGAAAATCCACTTTCCAGTATTTGTGTGGTACAGAGTCCTCCTCATAGAAATATTAATAAGAACTCAAAACATCTAAATGAGTTATATGGCAATGGACTGCATACCAGTCAGGCTCACCGTTACGTACGTACTATTTTATTGTTTAAAAAGTTGTGCCCACTCATCTCTATACCGAGAAAAGGGGTAATTCATACACTGTCCGAAGCATTTTCTTTGAATAAATAAGAAAATTCAGATAATTATTGTTTTTTGTACACAATACAAAACCATAGTGTGATATAAGTGTTTCTTTTATAAATTCCCGTCTTTTACAGGGGTGAATTGCGTGCATACAACAGTCCCATCACTAGGGAGTTCAACAACCCTGCTTACGACCTTGTGGGCGAGAAAGCAGATGATAATGGCTATGCATCCTTGGATAAACCCTCTGAACACCAATATGCAACCCTATGTGAGGCAAGGAGTGGGGAAGTCAATGATCCCAGTCCAAGTGACGCATTGACAACCTTTAAACCTAAAGTAACCACTACAATTGACAATAATTATTGTTGATGAATTAAAAATGACCCTGGATATGAGATGGATTTGACTTCTTTACATGGACATGATGTTGGGATTTAGTAGTCTTGTTAAATATTATTTGTGGACATTTACTTTTTTAGATAATTATTGGTTAATTTTTTTGATTGTCATGATGTTAAGCATGGACAATTAGATTTTTGGGGTTATTAATGGTCGATTTGTGAAATGTTATTCGTTGACAATTATTTTTTAGATACAGTAGAACCTGCTAAGTGGAACATCTCCGTAAGTGGAACACCTCGGAAGTCCCGTTCTAAAAACCCATTGACTCAATGTTAATTGAACCTCTGTAAGTGGAACACCTCCAAACTTGAACAGTGAACACCCCATATTGAAAAATTAACCTGCTAAGTGGAACAGTCAATTTTCCATAAATTTCAAAAGTGATACTTAAGTAAACAAAATTAACCTCCAACAGTGATACCTGGGTATGAAAACAGGTAATAACGTGATAATTGGCAAATTAGGATTTAAATGGATTACCATATAGTCAATTGGATTAACCTCCTGTAGAGATCAACATGTGATGCTACCACTAATTAATTTGATAATTAGCAAATTAGAATTTCATAAGATTATCATTCAGCAAATTGGATTAAGAGATGGACATGTGATGCTCTTGCCTCTTACCTCTTGCTGTGTTTCATACTTAATAAGTAAGCTTAAGAATGTCAGTTAAAAAACAAATGAATTATTAGCATTAGGAACAAGTCTTTAAAACTTAATTGCCAAATCTTAGTGTCTGAGACTGGTAGAATGAGGAGGATTGAGAATGTCAGAAAACATTTTTGGCAGAATGAGGAGGATTAAGAATGTCAGATACCTTTTTTAGTAAAACAAATAGATAATTGAGGCTACATAGCTGCCCTGCAATGATCGGAGAATCTTATTTTCAGTGATACATATCAACTCTATATTTAATCTTGTATGTTCGTTAAATCCCCGCGAACCCAAAACCTCCGTAAGTGGAACACCTCCTAAGTGGAACGCTTTTTGGCAGAACGGAGGGTGTTCCACTTACACAGGTTCTACTGTAATTATTGATTAATTTGATTGATGTTAAACATGGACAATTAGATTATTTGTTGATTATTAATGGTCGATTTGTTAAATGTTATTCGTTGACAATTATTTTTTAGATAATTATTGATTAATTTGATTGATGTTAAACATGGACAATTAGATTATTTGTTGATTATTAATGGTCGATTTGTTAAATGTTATTTGTTGACAATTATTTTTTAGATAATTATTGGTTAATTTGATTGATGTTAAACATGGACAATTAGATTATTTGTTGATTATTAATGGTCGATTTGTTAAATGTTATTCATGGACAATTATTTTTGGATAATTATTGGTTAATTTGATGGACAACTACAGGTAGATGTTTTTGATAATTGTTGGTTACTTTGATTAATGTTATCCATGGACAATGTTTCCAGAATATTCTGATATAAATAATGATATGTTTCAATTATTGATTGTTCTTTGCAGATTTCAGCAAATGCCCTCAATGATACATATTTAATGTTTTAACTTCCACTTGAACTAATACAATAATTATCAAATCAATTTTGGATAACATACATGTACTTTCATGATGGAATAGTTTATGAAATATGGATATTGTTGTTCTATTGTTATTGATAAAATGATTCAAGGATCACCATGGTGTTTAATTATATAGATTTTGTTGCTAATGGATACCTAATATGGTGATTGAATTAATTGTTTAATGTAATATCATGGATGGATTAGATATTGTTATGGGGTCTTTTTCATGAAATTGTTTTTGATTGTTCAGACATTTTGTTTTGTCTTGAGATAGTAAAGAAGTTTCGAAATTTGATACGATGTATCATGTTCATTGCATTGCTTATGTAGTAGTCTTTCTTGATATGTATCCATACATCAGCAAAAGAAGAGTAATATTGCTTTTATAATGCACAAGTGAAACATATTTTGAATCTCAAAACTTTTGCTAAACTTTATTAGAGTCAATCAGCTTACATTTCATTTTAGTTAATATACAATTAAAGATGCTTTCTAAAACTAATGCTGCAATGAAGCATTAAAATCTCAAAATTTTTGAATAACATTTTTTCTCAGCTTACATTTCATTTTACTTATATACAATCTATTAAGATGCTTTCTAAAACTAATCTATCACTTTCATTGCTGCAATGAAACATTAAAATCTCAAAACTTTTGAATAACATTTTTCTCAGCTTACATTTCATTTTACTTATATACAATTAAAGATGCTTTCTAAAACGAATGTATCACTTCCATTGCTGCAATGAAACATTAAAATCTCAAAACTTTTGAATTACATTTTTCTCAGCTTACATTTCCTTTTACTTATATACAATTAAAGATGCTTTCTATAACTAATCTATCTCTTTCAATGCTGCAATGGAACATTATGAGAATCTCAAAACTTTTGAAAAACATTTCTCTCAGCTTACATTTCATTTTAGTTAATATACAATTAAAGATGCTTTCTAAAACTAATCTATCACTTTCATTGCTGCAATGAAACATTAGAATCTCAAAAATTTGGAAAAACATTTTTCTCAGCTTACATTTCATTCAGTCAAAATTACGGTCATTAAAATTTATTAATTCATTCATGCAACTTTTTTTACTCCAAATCTGACTCCAAATCAAATATTTTTAGTAACTATACTTATTACAAATTATTTTGTTTGTACCACAAACTATTGTTGCTACCATTTAGTAATATATAGACATTTAAAGCAGATATGAAATGGTATTTTTAACCTAAAGGAATCAATATAATTTTTTGATAAATGTATTTGGACATGTTTTCTAATCAGTAGTGTGAAAACTGAAAACTATTTCACTCTAACGATCGTTGTAGCTGCTTAATGAACAATATTCGAATTGGTTTTGACGTTATTGGCCCCCACGTGATCTCTCACTGGCCCCCACGTGGCTCGTTTTGGTCTATTAGATCATGACGTCATAATGCCAAAATGTTTTGTTATTTGTTTACACAACAATCCTATGGTTGCCGTGACGTTGTGATTACTATGGAACCAATAAACCAAAGCTATAATTTGTATATGACGTTACTAATCACGTGGGGGCCAATTTGATTTATGAGTTAGTGTTATTTCGTTATCTATGACCGTTAGCAGTTATCTAACATTTATTTTATAATGGATATCGCAAGAACTCTACGGTGGGCTTGCAATAGAGAAAACCACATTTTTGTAGCTGCAAGTTGAGAAAAGCTATTTCAGTTGTCCTTTAAGAACAACCTAGAAAATACCTGGGAATACTATAAGAAAATACACATGGCATATTATGTAGGCTAAATTACAAGGTACACGTATACAGTGTGGGCATACATATGTACATGTACTCATGTATTTCTAGATTTTCTGAGCATTAAAGATCTGAATTGATATTATGTGTACCTTTCCTGTACTTACAAATGTAAATGATTTTGTTTTTGATGTTTTTGTAGTTTTTTACATTGTTTATCTCTTATGCAATAATAAATGGACTTATTCTTTCTTGCATCAATCACGTTCTTCATCTTTTTAAGTTTCAATCCTGGGGTTTTAATAGAACAAGTCAACTGTTGAGTCTGTCTCATCTCCTTGTTCGTCAGCCTGCGGAACTATCGTTGCACCGAAACTATTGATTTGGTCTCTACCGCGAACGTTAAATACTCGTTGGACAGAATGTTGTACAAAGCACGAACCGAAGGTGAGTGCATTTGTACTAACAATGTAAAAAACTACAAAAACATCAAAAACAAAATCATTTACATTTGTAAGTACAGGAAAGGTACACATAATATCAGTTCAGATCTTTAATGCTCAGAAAATCTAGAAATACATGAGTACATGTACATATGTATGCCCACACTGTATACGTGTACCTTGTAATTTAGCCTACATAATATGCCATGTGTATTTTCTTATAGTATTCCCAGGTATTTTCTAGGTTGTTCTTAAAGGACAACTGAAACTCGTGCTGAATTTCACCATATTGAATGGCCTATCATTATTTATTCCTTAAATTCAATATCACTGGACGATCTCAGACTTTATTATAACAAGCTAACACGTTTACCAGAAGGCACATCCGGTAACTTGACAACACTAAGAACTCTTGATCTTGAGCTCAATTATCTAACAATATTACCAGACGCAATATTCACGAACTTATCATCATTGAGATATCTTTACTTGAATAAAAATGAATTAACAACATTACCGGAACGCATATTCAATAATCTAATATCACTGACAGACCTTTACCTTGAGAACAACCAGATAACGACATTACCCCTTGATATATTCAGGACCTTGACATCACTTTGGCGCCTGAACCTGAAAGTAATGAACTAAAAACATTACAAATTGGCATATTCAGTAACCTAATGTCATTGAATCATCTTTTTGTACAAAACAAAACATATTTATATTTGCATGGGAATAACGAGACCAAACTGTATATATGCACCATATGTACGAGACCAATAGTCCATGGTATGACTTCCGAATATGAAGTATCCGTAGCACAATATAGTGAAGCAACATTTGAAGCAATATTTATAAAAGTGTACATGTCTTGATTCTTTTAAAATACCATTTGCTGAAAAAACTTCCGGCTTTCGGGTCGAAAAATGTCTTTCATCACAAGGGGTCAAAAAACGTAAATATTTTGATTCGAACTGTTATACATTATATAAGACACAGACCGTTATTCTAAGCATACTAGTCTATACGAACAAAAATAAATTATCATATTTTAAAAATATACTGTTTAATTTTACCGTAGATGTCGGTGTTTAATTAGTGTAATTATGCAAGTGTGTTTTTCAGATTTTGTTTGACTTTTCAAATATGAGCCAAGCCGATTCAACAAAATTATGTGGAATATTTAGGTAATTTATGATTGGGAACATAATAGTTTTCTTACCATTTAAAACATTTTATTACCAGAATTTTTCCATATAATCGCAAGGGGTCTGACAACAAATTATTGCTCATGTTTTACAAAACATACTACAATAACAAATAGGTAAGATTTATATCTAATTAAATGTTACAGAGGTATTGGAATGTTCATATATTCCAAGGGCATGTCTAATAATCAATTAGAA